GAATACGAAAATCGTTCGGTTGGGACAAATAACTGTGAAGTTCTATTCTACCATAAATATGAATAACTTCATCAAAAAACGATATTGATAATGATGAATAGTATTTCCCTAGTTCAGTTTTAGGGTAATAACAAAATTCTCTTTACTTCTCTTAATAATGAGAGTTTTATCAGCTGTGCATAGCATCCGGTTCTGTTATTTCGTTTTCCTTTCATTACAAGCCAAATATTATCACTTTTATGGTGAATAAAGGCAAATTATGCAGACATTTAATGTGTTATTGAACAAAAGTAACTGTATGAATGGAAACAATGTCAAGTAAGACATTTATCTCTGTTAGATACAGAAATACTAGTTATTATTCTGTGAACGGTTTGTGGTAAACGTCTAAAAGTGAGAAGGCTGATCGAACTGTGTATGGATTAGTGATGATGTTTTCAGTAGTGGTGTTAAACTGCCAGTTATTTTGATGTAAATTGAGGAAATTAGTTTGTCTAATGAAATAGACGTATCTCATCTACGGATATTTGAATATTTTCATAAAACTTCTTCTCTTGTTAGATATGTTGTTGCGATTTCCTATGACCATGTACAGCCATTTGTTCCATTTGTAAGGTGAGCATGAAATATTTTGAAATTTATCTATGTGTGTACACACGTTTATTAGACATCTATGTAAAGTGGTACAACTGGATTCGCTTGGAATATTATTCAGACAGTTTAGGTATTCTATAGTTTGATACATTGACTGAATAACCTAGATAGTCATTTTAGTGATACCCTCACTACTTGTAAACTATTTAAATCAAACTGAACAAACGAATTGAGAAATTCACCAGGTTGGGTGCTAGAATGTTCAGGGTGCTTAGTTCGCGAAAATCCCCTATCACTTTCAGCGAGTATTACAGCATGGATCTTTGAAATTCACATAAGAAGTACACTAAGATATTTTTAAGAGATATGGCAATGTGTAGAGCGATTTTCGTTCCTACGAAATGTCAAATGAATGAGATTTTCAAACACGATAAATAAGTAATCGCGAATAGAAATACAGCCACTTCGCAAATCAATGTAGAACAGCATTCGAGATTTGAATGCTGAGAACTATTTTAGTTTAGTGAAAACGCATTCATGATAATCATCTGAAAATACAAAGAAGATCTGATGACAATTAGAAACGTGGTCGTTTATGATATTTAGGAATGCAGTTCGAGTTTCACATAGTTTGTCACTGAATGAAGAAGGTTTAGAAACAGACCACAATTTTGGTTATTTCCTAAAATCTAATGATTATGTGTATACAGCAATTCAATATAACTATTCACAAATAATAATTTTATGCTTTTCCAGTTCATTCGGAATCTATTCACCGGAAAAATACATGATTATGTGTTTTCTCGGTTCATATGGAGTAATGAGTAAGTGAAGTCGAATTCATCATGTTGCAGATATTTTACTATAAATCTCAAATCAAATTACTATGAATCCTTGTTAACATTTCTACTAAAATTTGTAAAGTTGTATATTGTAGACAATACAAAATAGAGGAATTACATTCGCACGACTTTCCGTGATAGAAATGAAGTACTACTGATAGTCAATTCACAGAGACAATTTGTTAATGATGTGATCATCGTAACATGCTTCACAAACGTGTTGAACACTATCTAGAACAGATGACAACCAATACCATACATGTTTGTACAAACACTTGCTTTCAGAATAATTAATATCAAGTTCCATTATTGAAATATGAATACATGTAGAAAGTAACGAAAATCGTCATGTCTTATTACATGTTCTATACACTTAGATCTTTTGTGTTGTACTTTGGATTGTGTTTTTCAACTACACCATTGACTCTCGTTGATTAAGATAATAGGTTAACTACAATTCTCTAGATGATTTCAATCAACATACGATGCTACGAACTACATCTCTCTGTCAGAATAGCTAATATGTATCAGACTATACTCAGAGACTACGTTGAGAGGTAATAATAGAAGTCCTCTTCTGCTTCGGTTTGGACAACTGGTCAGTATCACCGCCCACACACAAACAACTGACTTGAGTGGCGCATATGTATTGGTTGGGAATGATGCATTACAAATGGGGAATAATAAGCTTCATTTTGACCTAGGTTTTTATTTCTCCGGATACAAAATCCTCAAAGTAGTGAGTCAACTCAGCATTTTGTCACTTAAATTCTGGATGAACACACCCATATCATGTTGGTTGATTTTATCACCTCATCATCAATAGTATCAGTTCACTTGATAACAATCTGTATCTGTCGATTTCGTTCAAATCAATTATTAATTATTTCTATCTGTTGCAGAAGTTAAAGCAAGAATTGCAAAGCATGAACAGCATTCGTTCACTTAAACAACATATAGAATTCAAAACAAAACTGTCTGCAAGCCAACATCAAATTCACATTCTTCAATACGAACGTCAAGATAGTTCTACTATACTGAGCTGCAACTTCGAGAACCACCACAACAGTCATCAAACATTTACAAGTATTTATAAACAATCATCTACTCGAAATACTCTATATCTGTTTGTCGGATACCATCAGCAAGAGTGTATTGTGGAAGAGAACGAGCCACCTTGCAGTTGAGGATTGAATTAGAAAAGGATGCTAAATGTGGATAGGATATACATTACGGAAATCCTCAGACTGCATCTCGAGATAAGCGTTAACTTGGAATGATGAAGGGAAACAGAAAAGTTGAATTCCGAATAACGCATTGCGTCGGGATTCACAGTTAAACATTACATTGTGTACAACGGGAAATGAGAGCCCAAGATGGAACTGGTAGTGGTGTCATGATTAGCGATCCATGCTACTCCACGACGATGAATAACAGGCGTGATGAAGTAAGTAAGTAAGTAAGTAATTGATCAAGTGTGTAAGTAGATAAGTAAATGAATGTCTTGTTTTTGTCGACATAGCTCAACTTTTAATGTAAATTGAGTCCATTGTTATCTTCAAATTTACTATTAGCCTTTTAGTAACCTAGCATTGAATTAAACTCAGCGATTTAAATTTAAATAATTCCAAATTTTCGTCCAGCAAACTTGTCAGAACGTCTTTATGGTATTATTGAAAATCTAGATTATCAAAGAAATATATAGCGTTTAACAATCCAATCAGATGAAATCTACACTGTGTTAATCCAATCATAATTGGGTGTTGTCATGGTAAATAAAAGAGGATGGGCCAGTTAAATGCAAATCATGTGGAAAGTTCACAGTGTAGAAATAAATGACTGAACGAATTGTGTGTATATATTTATGTGCAAGACTGAGTTATTCATAGGTGAAAAGTTCTACGAAACACACTCTTTAATGTCATGATTTCTATCCTATTCTTACTTAATTATTGTCTTTTTCATACTGAAAATAATGTTAAACCTGAATTAAAATTATGATTCATCTGATTATAGTTAGGATAATTACTGAACATCAATGATACTGGAAACCAGTATAAGGAGTCAGATCACCAATTAATATATATAATTCCATAGGTTGAAATCATGAGTCGATTGAAGCTAGACCACCATGGAAAACCTGAAAGCACTGGACGGCCGTTTCGCCCTAGTATGGTACTCCTCAGCAATGCGCATCCATGATCCCGCACCACGCGGGGTTCGAACCCAGGACCTACTAGTGTCGCACGTGAGCACTTAACCACTAGACCACTGAGCCGGTATCCAACGGTGTTAATGTCTAACTTCAACCAATCCACGAAGTTGCGCCACCGTACACCATTGTCTTATTTCTCACAACAGACCTGGTTGAACTCCACTGGTAATTACTTCTCACTAGAACTCCAGGAGTTTTTCTTGAAGTCAGTCACTAGTGTGCAGTTGATTATTATCAGAATGGATTTTCCATGATGGTCTAGCTTCAATTGACTCATGATTTCAACCTATGAAATTTCTAAAAACTCTCCATAAAACCCATTCTGATAATACAAAATGTGAATTTAACAGTAACAATGTGGACCACTATTAATCTCCAAAAATGACGGATATTTTTCAAAATTAGTGTTTGTTTACTGAATAACTGATGCATTTTACTTTTTTAATCGGTAAGTAACGTAATAGTTTTACAATAATTATTGCTGTTCAGTTAAACATCTTGATATTTATCTTCTGTACACTACTTTTCCCTACTGAACTTTTAAGTTGATGATGCTTCAAAACATTTAAAAGAATTCAATGAAAGCTGTATGAAAATAAAATTAGTTATTAGAAGTATCTACATTTACAAACAGGTTTTTATGATTGTCACATAGTTATCTACTTACGAAGTTGGAACCAACTTCAAAATTTATTAACTAGTACTTTAGTGAACGAGAACACATATGAGAACAATCAAATGTACAAACTTAGAGAACGTTTTGGTAAAATCTAAGAACCATACGATAAATACTTTATTTGCAAAATGTCAATCAAACGTCTCCCATTTCATTGTTATTTCGTGTCCACACCAATCATTCTCTGTTCTCGTTCTCTTTTCTTCAATCTACTTAACCTTCACTTTAAATTGATGATACATACTACTTATATCTGTCGATATTAGTAGCACACACCACAGAATTTATGTCTGAAGTACATAAATCTAAAATGGTGAGATTAATATTGGTTTTTATGTAATCAACTAGCTATTGTCGAATTCATTAAATAATTAAGATAATATTGATATATCCATGAATAAGGTATATTTTTAGTTGTTTTCCTTTATATTTGCAAAAACACTACAATGATAAAAATAATCACAATACATAACCAATATCATCAAACAATCCGACATTAAAGAATATCCTATAAATTATTGAGATATTGTTGGGATATTCAGAAATATATCCCAAAAATCATCCTGTTAAGTCTAATGCTATCCTTGGACGTGAGATTGTGTCATTTTCCTATTGGTCAATATTTATTTCACGTGTCATTTTCCTGTTGGCCAAATATTGTACAAATGTTATTTTCTATTTTATGGTACGGTGTCGGCTGTTTGATTGGTATATAAACAGAGTATGTTTGAAATACATTATTCATATCACAGAGGCTGAGACTTGTGTTCTGGACTTAACTGGCTGGGCTAGGCAGGAAGCAGGACCAATCAGAACTCTAGACTGCTCGCACGTGTTTTACGCGTCATTTATACAATCGATAAGTCAGTGCTCCCTAATCGGCGGTCACAAGTTATAACAGATATAAAAACAATTTATTAGAAATATTTCTTTTATCTGATCAATAAATAAGCTTTGAATACTGTACAAGTTATTGTCATCAAAATATCTTGATAACTAGAAGGTTATATTAAGATACCATATACAAATAACATCTCCATAGAAAACATCTGACAAATAGTTTTGATAAAATCAATATATGAATAACCAAAAACACAATTTCTAACTTTTATCAAGTCTATAAATTTCAGCTAAGTAATTTTAAATAGTCAGTTATATGTACAATATGTTCAATCAGAAATCCTAGATCTTTGTACTATTTTCATTCAATGATCTTTTAAAATAATCTAAAAAATATATTTTTTACATTTTGGATCTTTTCCTTTTAAACCGACTACACATTTAAATTGGAACTTCTTTGTAAATTCATAACCGATTTTTGAAAATCTCGAAGTTCCAAAGCTATAATAAATGTTAATTCTGCACAACCCAAAACAACGCACCATTCGCTTACTGCACTCCATACAAATTCAATATAACCCTGTATAAATACAAAAAATATTATTTTATGATTAATCTAATTACAACTATGATTGTTATATATTTTCAAATTTCAAATTTAAGTTTATCATTTATCTCATAACTTTCAGCTTTGCCAAAGTAAAATATTTAGACGACAGTTACTACTTTATTGTTAGAATAGTATTATTTTGAAGTAATGGAATCGCCTGGTCTATGTAGGATGATTGTGAAGTTTTCATTTTCATTATAAACAACAGTAACAGTGGAAGAAAATATATACCACATAGTTCATAGAATAAATTCTATCATCTTCGATAATCTCTACATTAGACTATGTAGAAATCGCCCTCTCACTTACGGATATATCAACACATACTATTGTTGAAAGTTCATGATATATTACCACTGATATTATTTTAAATAGACAACCACGTGCATGAATTCGATCGAAAAAATCCTGAAATCCTGAATGAAGTGATTTGTAATATTGCCTGTGAGTTCCTAGAAACATGACATTCAGATCAATTGCCAATCAACCGACACATTGAGATAGACGTGGCCTATCAAGTTGTACAAAACTTTTCACAATTGAATTCACGAGTTAATTTAAGCTAGACTACCATTGAAAACCTGGAAATACTAAACTTTCGTTTCGCCGTAATATAGGACTTCTAAGCAGTGTGCATCCACGATCCCAAATGTGGGATAAAATGTTTGATCAACTACTTGCATAAAGGTCAATCAACGAGGTTGTCAACGTGAATACAAAGAAAAATGAAGACAACGCAACCTAAGGAGATGAACAGTCATGAAGAAGACCATCAGAACAAACTAATTTAACCCTTGTAGAAGAACTAGGAATCTCATTTCTGGATTAAGTTGTCAAGAACGGAAATTGTAACTTATCAGTTAAATCTTCCATCCTATAGAACTCAATAGAATCAATATCATTCATTTGAGACACAAATCTTCCCCAGTTATTTCTTATGAACTGCAAAGTAAGTTTTGACGGTCTAATTTAATTGAATTTTTGATTTTTTTTCAGTAGTTGGCTCCCTGGAATACATTCCATTGATATCAGAAAATCATGATCTTTATAGTTAAACTGAAAAGGACACTATTTAAATATTTGAGAAAAACTGAAAGTACTTTAACTTTTTATGTTTGTAAGAAAAACTCAGCCTTCAGTGATAAAACTATCCTATACTTTGTCCTTATGTGACTGATTTATCAATTTCAACAAACAAAGTTTGTGCTCTCATATATCACTTACCGATTCATAAGGTTTGATATAGAAGAAATCTTTCGCTTTTAAAACTTTAAGTCCAATCATATTGAAATGTACAACTGATAAATGAAAAATATAAGTTAACATTTATAAAATAAATAATGACACATTTATAATTAGATACATTTTCTCAGCTGAATAACCTAATAAACAAAAGAAAATTTCGTTATATATGTCTACAACTCTATTTGTCAATATAAATAGATCACAGATTGAAATCATGAGTCAATTAAAGCTAGACCACCATGGAAAACCTAGAAGCACTGGACGGTTGTTTAGTCCTAGTATGGGACTCCTCAGCAGTGCGCATCCACGATCCCGCACCCCGTGAGATTCGAACCCAGGACCTATCAGTCTTTTAAGTTGCATAGAAAATATACTCAACACTTTATTTTTGTGATGACATAAAGTATTTTAATCTAAAATGGGACGAAACGGCCGTTCAGTGCTTCTAGGTTTTCTATGGTGGTCTAGCTTCAACTGACTCATGGTTTCAATCTGTGAAATTTCTAATATCTCCACAAACCCCTTCTGACAATATAAATCTTCTCAATGCTTGTAGAATATAAAATCGTTTACTTAAAATGATTTCATATTTACTGTTTCTATCGGGAATCGTAAAGATATACTTGGTTTATTAGTGGTAACAAGTATTTACACTTTATGTCTGTTATCACAATGAAACAAAACTAAATTCTTGCTTTTTGTATTCCATGCAAGATTCAAACTATCAAATTGTTTAAAGCTACTTTTTTATTGTGATTTTTCACAAACAAACGCATATGAACTTCAACCTTGTGTTGTATAAACGATGAAATATTCAGATTAAGAATTATTTGTTACTGTCATACAAGATCTGTTTATTATATACAATAACTGATCAGCAAGGATTCTTAGTTATCGACATACCTAAATAAGATGAATTATTGAAATTTTGGGAACTGAGGTCCCGATAAACACATTGAATAAACACTCACAGTTTGTTAAGTTTTTCCATCACTGATTCACTGTTTATTTTAAGCATTTACTATGTTCTATAGCCATTTTTAGCACTGACTTCAATGGTTTAATAGTGCATTATCTATATTACCTGTTTCTTAACTATGGAGTCATAAAAGCTGTTTCGGGATATCGTACATTAGTAGTATTATCTTTTAAGGAAAATCATCATCTACAATATACTTGCTAAAGAAACGTGCTTAATATTAAGAAGGGAAACAATCAATTGTTGTATTTCAGAAATTAATCGACTTATCAATAATGTAACCGGGTTTACACTGAGTATTTATACCTTAAAGTTCAAAAATTACCAACTCGTTTCGGTGCGTTGAAATTATTAATTATGATTGCTAATTTTACATATGATAATTAACTTTGTACTGTATTATAGTAAATCAACATTGAAATAACAAGTATAACAAGTGATAAAAGAGGTGTCTTGAAATACTAAGGTATATATATCAACCTCATTGTCATATCATGTATACTAATTATTTAGGGTGCAAAATACTTGATGAATCATTGTAACGGCACTTTGCTTAATAATGTTTCCTTTCTTAAATATCAGCATTATTCTTGAGACATTTACATATAATTTATTTCAATAGTTGAGATCATGAATCAATTGAAGCCAGACCACCATAGAAGACGTGGAAGCACTGGATGGCCGTTTCGTCTTATTGTGGGACTCTTCAGCAGTGCTCATCCACTATCCCACCTCGCGAGATTCGAAACCAGGACCTATCAGTCTCGCGCGCGAACGCTTAACGATTAGACCACTGAGCCGTCCGGCATCCAACGATGTTAATGTGTAACATCTACTAATCCACAAAATTGAGCGACAAATCCACCATTGTCTTCAGTGATCTACTAACTCGCAACAGACCAGAATGAATTCCACTGGTATTTATTATCTTATGACTAATATTATACATTTATATCAAATGTTAGTCAAATCATATTTCACGTATTGTGAATGAATGATAAGTAGAATACTTAAAATAGGTCCAATATTTTCAAAGTTTAAATCTCATTAATTATCATGCAAAAACTATGTATGAACTTGAAAAAAAAGTTTGTATAATATTTAGTAAGAATTTTTTGCTTTATTTTATAAACACTCACATGAAGCAGATGCCAGTACCATTTGACTAACAACAAATAGTCTTCCAAAACAATATAATATCCATTTGTTTGAAATACAAGCGATTACAACTGCTCCACAAGGAATTGCAATAACATGACAAATAAAATTCAATAAAGTCAAATGATAATGTTCAGCGTTGTTTTCTTTTGTCTATTCAAATCATAATAAATAAATTAATTAATTAAGTTAATAAATGTTAGGATAGTCGGAAAAATATACCAATAATTATCGTGTTAAGTTTATGGTGGCCTTGGACTTAAAATGTACATCCCCTATTGGCTATTATTTGATTCATTCGTTACATATTGTGTAAATGTTGTTTACTATTCTTATGGTACGATGTGGTTTGTTTGGTTAGTATATAAATAGAGTATGTCTGAAATACAATGATTCATAACTCAGAGGCTGTGACTTGTGTTCTAGACTCAACTGGTTGGGACAGACAGCGAAGCGTGGCCAATCAGGGCAATAGGTCGTCCATACGTGTTTTCCGTGTTACTGTGATCAATCGATAAAACTCTGCTTACCAAAACCTGCAATCTCACATGTTACAACAATAAAGTAAGAGTTTGAATAAATCTAATTAAAGTATTGATGAATGACATCAAAGTTCTTTTGTTTATCATAACTAGCATTCATATTAAATCAGTTTATCAAAAGTTGTTTACCGGAAAAGAATTTATTCAAATTGTCATTTATTCTAACTGAAATCACACAGTTTTCAAGTGAGAACACGAAAATAAGCTACATAGTTTCTTCAACCAAATGATATAAACACTAACTCAATCATAATGAATTAAATCAATTAAAATAAGCTTTATTTCTTATCAAGTGATAAGGTATATTTTTGTTATTTTTTATTCAGTGCAGCACTATCCTTAAACTATTCATTGTACCTGTTCTATTAAAAAAGTAAGAAAATGAGAGTGGGAAAAGAATAATTTAAAATACTTGAAAGCTTAAATTCACTTAGTTTTGACAATTTATTACCTCTTACATATTCACTTTGAGTTGAGTTTTTGTACTCTGTTCTCTGAAATTAAATTTTTCTTTAAAAAAACACCATTAGTAAATCAGATTGATATCAATACTCATAAATGACAAGGGTGATAAACATACGTTAATAAAAGAAAGTCCGACTATGCACATCCCAGCTATCGTCATAAATACCACAACAACTAAACATAGAAAATGAAGTATTATGGATCTTCTCATTTTTCTTATTTGAACTCCAGCTTCCCAACACCAAATCCATTGACTCAACGTAGCTGAAACACAACAAAAATGGACGTTTATTGTTTTTATCGAATAAATAAATTAAATAAATAACTTAGATAACTTGTCCTAATAAAATAAAAAAAAATCAAAATCTTGTCTGTTATCTGCATAATAGAAACAGAAGTAAGGGATATCGGTACAGTAGGTATCATCTCTATTTCATTCAAAGTTATTGCTTACTACGAATAAACGCTTGTTTGAACGTCTTTGGAACTGACTGGTTAACACGGAAAGCTAAACTCTTCATTTGACTGGCTACTAGATTTGTTTAGACTACTTAATTGGATATTAAAACTACCCATTATAACCACTCCATATGATCTTCTGATCTTTTAACAAAGGCTCCAGAGCTTTCTAAAACATTTTTACTGAAAAATCACTGATAAATAACAGGGTATTTCCTTACACTTCAGTGTTCTTCCAGCCTCATCCTATCTGAAGACAAACGTATGGCTATAGACAACGATCACATTGATCTAACTAAGATTACTGGTATGCCAACATTTGTAAAACCATGAAAATTCCACAGCAATCTATAGAAAAATTTTATATGACATGATATCAGTTTCATAAGCCGAAAGCTGAAAAATTTGTCTTGTAGAACGATTTATATACGATTTCAAGTGGATTCTCGATTATATATTGCTAAATGTACAATTTGAAAAAGATGTAACAGGAGGGAGTGTATAGGTGACAAGAGTAGTCAAAGCAATGAGTAAAACTGAAGAGTTTTCTGAACAAACACGTATACGAGCTGTATGAACAAAGAAGATATTCTGGCCCATAATAATATAAAATGACACTTGCTTTTCATAATTCTGCAAGGGATACTGTATTGTTGTTCATGGTCGTAATAATCTGAGGGTGTGGTCACCAAACATAAACGGCACTCATTTTCCCACCATTCCCCTAAATTTAACGTCGATGTAGCATAGGCTTAAGAAGTTTGTTAGTTGTGAATATAAACGGAATATTTTTATTCAAAAGCGAACCATCTATTAATATGTCGATAAAAGAAATTTATCATATTTTCACTTCAGTTTGTATAAAAGATGTGTTGTACCTAGCAGGTGTAGGATTCCTCCTTTTCAGGACTGAATGGCTGGGTGCACCTACATTCCAGTGTTAATGTTTACGTCACGACTGCAATCAAATACCTTTCTATTTCACACACATAGTTCCCTTTCTCATTTTGAAAAGAGCAAGAACAAACATTCTAGCAGGATATCATGAATTCATTTTATTTCGTTGGTTCTCGTCAGCTGCTTACAACCTGTGATATTTAAAATTATAATTACATAGTGGGTTTTAATTACTTACATGAGAGGGTTTAGTTAGAAGTTATATTGAAGACATATTAGTATGGTATAACAAGGGTGTAAATAAATTTAATAGATGAATATTATAGATATATATCTTATGTAAAAGAAAATTCTACAACATTGATTGTGACAGCAGTTCAAACGGCTAGAAACAAGTAATTATATAATGAGTAAACGCTGATAGAAATAAAATGAGTAGAGTTCAGTTGATAAAATAAGATTATTAATTTGGAAAATAGTTGAAATAAAACTCAGTGATGTGATAAATGCAAGAAAGGGTTTAAAGAAAAAGAAAAAAATATATAAATTAAGATACAGCGAAGGAATATTAGTAATCACGGCAAGGAAAGATTAATAACCATCCCCTTTTAAACACATAAATCAGGTTTTTGGCGTCTGATGGCAACGGCTTCAGCAAACTTCATAAGACTGGAGTTTGGCTGCATATCAATCACCTTGAATGATTGCAGGGTATCGACCTGATATCCTGTATCTAGGAGATGTTTGATGTTGCACTATTTAGAGTCTTTCTCTTGTTCTGAGGCTTTTTGGAACATGTTCAAGAAGTCTAAGATGTGCCCTCCTTTCTGTTCGGCCAATAGAGCTGCTTTGGCAGGTACACATAAATTTATAAATACAGTTGGCAGTAACATGAAAAGGATGCTTATCAACCTTTGATTGAGTTATTGAACATGTTGTTTTATACAGAATTAGAAGTTTGATCGCCGGATAAGTTTTCGCTAGCGCAGTATTCAGTCTCCTGTTGATTGTGTTTGCAATATCATCACCTTTGAAGTTAAGATTATAGTTATTGGTTTTTTATTGACCGTAATTACTTCAGTATTGCTTTCTTTAGGCTTTTTATATTTGCCAATAAACTTTTGTGGGTAAAAGTTGTGTCGCAGGCATTTTGTATGTTCATTAATTCTTCTTCCAGTTTGTCAATGGTACGTATTCTTTCTGCCCTATAAAATAGTGTTTTAACTAATGCCTTCTTGTCACTGAGTGGACAAGAACTATTGAAATTCAGGCAAAGACTATTCCAAGTAATTTTCGATAAACCAAACGTTGGACTGTCCCATCTCCCCAACGTTTTATAGCAACATCAAGAAAGTGGAACATGTCATTCTGTTCGTGTTCCATAGTAAATTGTATGTTAGGATGAGCGTTATTGAAGGGTTTAAGCAGGAGGATTGCATGCTGTTAATTGCTACAGACAATAAACGTGTCATCAACATATCTGGAATATTCCATCGTTTCGCTAATCGCCTGTTTAAGCGCCGCGTTTTCAAGACACCCCATAAAAATGCCGGAATTGGACCTAGTGGACTTCCCATTGCTAGGCCGTCGATTTGACGATATATGGTGTTATTGAACTGGAATTGAACGTCTGTTGTGCACATCAATGGTAGCTTTTCTAATTCTGGGGCTAGTAAACACAGTAGTGATTCAGTACATGACATGTAATTACGTCGATTATGCTTTTATTAAAAATCGTGTGCACAGACCTCATGAAGTATATTAATAATTGGCACTTAAGTACACTTGTGAAAAGCATTATTATGGATAAATTGTTTAAGAAAGAAGTGTTTCTTCAACAAACCAGTAATTTACTAGACGAAATACATAATTATCAGTATCTTCTAACAAGCTTTTAATCCCATATAAAGGCTTCATAAGGAATGTTTATGATTGGAACCTAGGTACACGTATGAGAATCATCACTATTGTATGCATGATCACATTCAAAGTACTTTAAGAATAAATCTCAGGTCATGTCGATGTCTAACATATCTAAATTAACATTTAAATTATCATTATGTTGCAATATCTAATACGGGAAACTCAAATTAAATATGTATTGAAGAGTATTTTCTTTCAAAAATCTAAATATATTGATGACGGTAAACAGTTCAACCTACCCATTATTCCATAACTTGACATTAGAATCATGAACATGTATTTTTCCGGTGGATAGATACCAAGTGCGCTACAAATATTATTACATAAATGGCAATTAATCAAAAACATCAGTTTAGATTGGTTTTTAAAAAGTTGGAAATTTAATTGAACAGTAAACTTGTGTTTTCTGTTGTCAAGATGTTTTCATTCAATAATTAGTTGAAACATTGTTAGCAAAGAAAACAGTTAGTAATGGTTTTCCATGCACCGAATTAATATTCAACTAACTTTCAGTAGATGTAATATAGAACAGATTTACTTCGAAAATATCATGTAAATAAATTTTCCATTAAACAATCAATTTTCTCGTACGAATATGCTTGGAACATTACTCAATATCTGAAACAATCAGTTCAGTTCATAAATGTTGAAAGTGTGTTGATGAGTTGAAATTGAGCTGCAGAAGTGGGATAATCACTGATATCTTAATTAATACAATTCTATACGTAAACTAAATAATGTCAAATAAATAAAAGCTCAGATGAATCGAAAATACGAGAGAAAGATTATACAATGCTAAGGATTAAGTTCTTAAACCCGAAATTATTGAAATGGATTTAGGTTTACCCAAATAAGCTTGACCCTTTGAATTCGGCATTTTTATCCCTTTCATAGCAAAATTTCTAGTCGTTCATCTGAGGATTTCCATACTCTAATATCTAAACTGGTACAGATTACTTAATAATTACAAATGTACAATTTCGCAAAAGCTGGTATCAAATATATATCTTCCAAGTATACATCAGCTAGCTAAATGATTAACAAAACTTCCAAGTTTAATCTTTAACAAATAACCGAGACTATAATTTGTGGACGATCCAGTCAGATTTACGATCTAATTGCTAACCCTAATAAACTGTAAATCATAATCCTTATTCTTCAAACTGTTTCATAACCCCCATTTACTAAGTAAGTAGACACTCCCAAAGTCACTTTGGCGTCTCTCAAAGGTCGTTCATAAATTAAAGTCTCACCTACGAACAATATGAGTTTCCTTCACAAAAAAATTTATGAACTCATCTTGATGAAGATACACAATAATTATTGTTATTATTTACACTATCCATTCAAAGAGATTTCATGTATTTAAAAATTATTTGATAAAAATCTGTAAAATTAGGCTGTTGGAAATTTAGCACATAAATATTAGTCATTTCCAGATTAATGTTGTGTTTTTAATTTGCTTGGAAAATGTAATCAACACTTTATTTTTGTGATGACGTGAAGTATTATAATCTAAAAAAACAATTATTCTATTTTCAGAAGGAGTTTTGTAGATATTATAGTAATTTGAATAGTTGAGATCATAAGTCAGTTGAAGCTAGATCAATTTCGCTCAATTTTGTGGATTCGTTGAAGTTAGACATTAAAACCGTTGGATGCCGGACAACTCAGTATTTTAATGGTTAATATGGTTCGAATCTCGCGAGACGGGATCGTGGATGCACACTGCTGAGGAGTCCCACAATGGGACGAAACGGCCGTTCAGTGCTTCTAGGTTTTCTATGGTGGTCTAGCTTCAATTGAATCATAACCTCAACTATTAAAATTATTCTATTACCCGTTTGTTTTCTTCGCTTTTATTGTTTTCTTAATGTAAATCGTCATGTTACACTTGATAAATCTTACATTCTGGATGTGTTTTATAATCTTACCTACTTACCTACTTCACCTCATATGTTCAGTTGAAAATTATGCAATAATGTTGCATTGAGAAATAATATGGTCCCCGGTTAGTGTATTCTATTTATCTTCGATGAGTGCGCGATGTATTGTTCTATCATAAAAATATCATAAGAACAACAATTTCTGAATAGTTTCTAAGAGAGTCAGCTAACTGTGACCTTAATGACTTTGTTACAAGTGATAAATTGTTTATGTTATATGAAGTACGTGAAGAGAATAACTTTGCCAAATAAAGAATGAAATCACCTTCGTATTCATCACAGTCACTCAGTAATTATGTTAAATAAATCTTGATAATCAATTCCAAATAATCGTCGTTATTTAACAGGTCAAGTGAAAACCATGACCATCGCTATATGAGATTGTACCACTACATTTTTGGACAAACACGATGAGGATGCATCTCAGTTGACTCTGTTGAGGAGTACTTCAATAATAAATTCGTAAAAACAGTGTTCCAGAAATCTTTCAAACTACAATCAAATATAATATTGATTTGGCAGGTTACTGAATACGTACTGTTCAGATAAATCATTTTGATTCATGTGAAAGTATCGCGCTGTATATTTTTATTACACTGTAACATGAACCAATACTGGCTATTGAAATTTACAAGGAACTATTACCGGTTTGCTGATAAACCATTTTTAGCCATTTTATAAGATAAGAAATGAGTGATTAAACCTTATATTCACTTGGTTTGTTTTTAGCAATCTAGGTACAAATTTTTTAATCACAATAAAAAATGTGATCACAGAAATGAGAAACGAACCCACCTTACATATGGTACGACTGGTGAAATATGGTCATTGGAAATCGCGATCAGATACCTTAGATTCGGAATTAAATTAAGATCATTTTTATAAATGAGTGTGCAAATTAGAAACTTTAATAATAAGCAGTTATAGTTAAATGATACTGTTTAAAAAAAAGCCAAGGAATATCGGATAGCAGGTTTATTTTTGTGTGGGACTCATGGATGATAATCCGCTTCATGCATTTAATATTCTCGAATCATGTATATAAACAAGGCTGTCTTGTTGTTCAACGTTTGCATTCATTCGTAAAACCCATTTTATTATAAACCTATTAGTCGATCGAAAATAGTATTATTCTATTGAATAGATCATATGGGTTCTGTTTAAGATAGATTGAAATATATACAAAAGCCTGTTAAACACAGGTAATCTTCAGTATACCCCACTACATAGACAAGTTTGCATTCATGAATACTATGCTAAGATATCTGCATGTTTTTCATTAATTGGTTTATTCTCATTCTGGTATATAATTATTATTACGTTCATATGAATTTTATCGAATCATTGGTCTCTCTTTACTTCAAACAGTGCTGAAAACCAAATCTATCTGAGTGTATTCAGAAGAAGAACATGATTGCAATGTGATATCAACCTAATATTTTCTGTGTTTTACTGCTTTTTCATGAAGAATCATTCCTAATACACCTTCAAAAATTATTTCCATAATTTTCTAATCGAATTTCCATAGATCGTTATTTTGATCCCGACTATAAACTAATGATGTATGTTCCGTGTCATAAGCTTCTAACATTGATTTATTGTTTGCATTGTTCATTTGGTTACCTGATAAGTTTTCATTTCGGGTATTTACGCAATACTAATTGACCTCTGCAAAGTATACACTCGTATAATTCCCTAAACATTATAGTAAATCTATGAACATTTGCATTGTTTTATAATGGTCATTATCACCTTATCCACTTCTGATACATTAACATTTACTCTGATTCCGAATAAACGTTTTCAATCGTGACCTAATGAGAAATTGCAGGAAATATGTGTATGATATGTATGTGTTTTGGCATTTATCGAAATATGGATGTTTGACGTTTTATCAGAGTTGTGAGTCTTAAATATTTCTATTTAATTTTACAAGTAACCAACTGTAAGTGTTGAGGTTACAACTCACGTGGTTGGCAGCCAGAATAATGCGTGTATAACGGCGAAAAATGGTAGTTTGTACCAAGCGAAACGACACAGAGCCATTGAGAGGAATATTTTCTGCAAGCAATAATAGCAGAGTATATACGTATTAATGTTAGACTGGGAGACTTGCAGTTGTAGGTGGAGCAATTTTTTTCAGTTAGTAATGTAAGAAAATAATTTATTTTGTTCGAATTCTCTCTTATTTGAAGAAACTAGTTACTAACAACGAAATTTATTATGAATTCACTATGTTCATTGAATAAGGTTCACTTTAATGAAACGGAAAAACCTATTGTTAATTTTACATGTGATAATCTCTAGCCAAATGGATGAACGTTATGTCACTAAAAGACCTAAGAGGTACATTTCATAAGTGTATATAACAAATTATTAATCCTTCAATCTAGAAGTCTTGATAAACAATACTATAAGAAAACTATGTACATAGCTTTACAGAAGATATGAATTTAATCTCCTCAAGATGCATTAATTGTCAAGTAACTTAATTACTTACTTGCGCCTGTTACTCATCGTCGTGGAGGAGGATAGGCGACCCATTAACATTCTCCATCGAACTATGACCTGGACAAGTCCTTTCCAGTTCTTTTCAGTTTCTATTCATCCTTTTCATGTCTGTTTCCAATAGCCGGCACACTGTGTCTTGATCTTCCTCTTTTCTGTCTCCTTTCACGATTCCAAGTTAGCGATTATCTCGTGGTGCAGTTTGATGATTTTCTTAATGTATGTCCTATCCACTGCTAACTTCCTTTCTTAATTTCCACTTCAGTTGGAAGTTAGTTTGTGTTCATACACAGTAGTCTGTTGCTGATTGCATCCGACAAACAGACATTGGGTATCATGTGTAGAAAATTGGTTATAAACATCTATACTGTTTTAATGATGGTTGTACTAGTTTTCCTAATTCCAGCTCCACACAACTGAAATGCATTGATGTTCGTAACAAAGATTGTGACTTTGATATTGGTTTGCAGACAGTTGCTTTGAGCTTCACATGTTTTTCAACTGCAGGAATGCTGTGATTGCTTAACTAATCCTTACCTATACATCTGCATCGGATCCTCCTGGTTCATCTATGATGCTGCTTTACTCAGGTACGTGAACGTTTCAACCTCTTCCAGAGTATCTCCATC